AGATGACTGACCACAGAGTGCAGGGAAAAAAGGGACCTATCTAAAGTATTTTTATTGGTAGACTAGTGGGTGGGTTGGAAAAGCTAAAAATGTACACAGAGACCCAACAAGAGACATCAAAAATGATTTTCTGTGGTGTGCTCTAACAATGTGATTTATGGGAAAAATCCTTGACTTGCAATATTTGCCAATTGGGTGAAAATGCTCCCTCTGTGGTCAATTTCAAGCTACCACTCTATGTCCATGAGCAAGATCTGGGAAGAGCTCCGCTCAGTGCAAGCCAGTTCTAGTACATTCCTCTTTTATTTGAATTTCACGTGTTCTTTGACTTATTAAAAATAGGTAGAAAAAGTGTAAATGCATCTTTGCAATGTTTGACTGTAAACTGTTTCCTTCTTTTCTCACAGTTGTTTAGTTAGAATAAATTCACTTTATTTTCAAGGCCACTTGGCAGTTAAGCAGGTAAGGTTTGATTGCAGAGTGCAAGGGTTGGAAATATGGCTTTTATACTTTCTACCCAGATGACATGACTGTGGGCACTGAGTGTAAAGTTTCTGGGCATCAGTTTCCTCATCTTCAAGGTAGAGACCATAACAAGGTTGTCATGAAGATTAAATCTTTGATAAAGAAAATACACTGAGAATAATGACTAACCCATTGTGAATCTTTAGTTAAGATTAGCTGTATGTTTCATATACCAGAGGTGCCCCCAAAAAGTACACACATTTTAAGTATGACGTTCACTCAAAAGATAGCGTTAGTCAAATGAATGCTGGCATCACCATGTGACAGGCAGGGCAGTCAAAGAAAATGGCAGCAGTATGGTTGAGTAAATGTCATACTACACATTGTTGCTATAATCCAATTCAACTTTGAAAAGTAATACATAGGAAACATCTCTTAAAATGTGTACAGATTTTTTTGGCACCCCCCTGTGTTACCAGCCTTAATGATGGTTGAGGAATAAGATGATACAAGAAAGACACTGTTCAAATGAATGCTGATGCAAGAGAAATTGGATCAGGAAGGAAAGATAAAAGACTTTAAGAATCACAAAAATTCATTAACCTAAAAAAAAATAAAAGTTTAGGTAGGGCTTATACTTGATATTCAGAAAATGTTGTATGCTCATTTTTTCTTTTCTGGTTCATAAATTTGTCACAATTCTGTCATTTCATGTCCTACTTTAGGGCTCTATTGGTGTCAGATATTTCTGTTCTACATCACCATTTGTTACTTAGTCCTTATGTATTTCAAGTAGAACTTTAAACATATCCTAAGACATAATACTAATGTATCTTTAGGGCATTTATGATTCAAATTTTCCACGTGTTTTTTCAGAGAAGAATTAGTCTTTCCTACTGACCCTCCATTTTGACCATGAGCAAATATAGGCGACTTGAGTTACTTTGGTCCTTCCACTGTCAAAAGATCCCCTACAGATGCCAGTCACTGTTTTAAGATGATGCATTCATTTCGGTCAGTGAACAGCTATAGAGATCTTCCATTTATAGCGCAGTATGGGAAGCAGTGTAGCTGACTCAAAGATAAGTAAGACATCCCAGTTGCCACACCCTTAACTAGCTTAGAATCAAGCTAAGGGAGACAGATATGTATACCAATAGTAAGAAAAAAGTTTAAGCAAGGAGGGAAGAAAGAACATGATAATCATAAGTTGCTTGGAAAAGGCAACCAGTTTCCAAGATTCAAAAATGAAAGTTGTGTTTCCTTTTTCTTTTGTCATATGCTTGTTTGATAAGAATAACTCCTCTGAAATTCAGGATGCTGGTGAGTTTAAAATAAGGTCTCAATGGTATAACCAATGCATACTGGAAATCCTTGTAAATGACACACTAGGTCAGTACCGTACCTTCTGGCTATCTTCTCCCTGGTCATCATGCTCTCTCTTCAAGTTTCTAATTCCTTTGCAGGCTTTTTAGCAAGTTTTCTTCCCCCTCTAATCCATCCTTCAGATGAGTCTTACAAGGCAAGGCATATAGTCCATCCTCTAAAATATGCAATGAAGGCATGAAGATAACTTTTAAAAATTTCTAAAATTGTATTTTAATTGATGCGGTTTTGTATATTTATGAGGTGTAATGTGATATTTTGATCTATGTGTCCATTACAAAAAAAATTCAATCAAACTAATTAGCATTTTCTTCACCTCACCAACTTATCATTTTTTGTTGGCGAGAGTATGAAAAATGTATTCTTTTGGCAATTCTAAAATATACAACACATGATTATTAACTGTGGTCATTTGGTGACATACTACTTTTCTAATTTGAAAAATCAGTACTACTTTTGGGTAGACTTTCAATTAAATGACGACCTTGAACCATGAGGAGTTATGACAGAAAAGTAGCAGCAGACTTATGCGCTCTCCAGGTCATAATCAGAAGTAAAAGTTACTTCCAAGCTTTGCGAAGTTTGCCTACAACGTAAGTTTTGGAATTGATTTGGAAGCCAAGGATCCTAAGGGTATTTAGGATTAGTAGATTCTCCACATGAGTTTGCTCTGTATGGGGGAAAAAACGAAATTATTTGACTACAGGGATTTTAGGCTGCAGTTCCCAGAGAACTGAAGTCATAAGATTTTAAAGTCAGAAACCATGTGGGGTGAAGACAGAGAGACACTGTACTAATGTCCAACCTGAAAGGACAAGATTTAGGTAGGCTAGCGTATATAAAGCATCTGGTATGTAGAAGACCCTAACAAACAGCTTCTTTCTTCTACGGGCCGGTAAGGAAAAATTGAAATAGTATCAAAAGTAAGTACATAATAGGATACGCAATTTAAGGGCAGTTAATATTATTTTTTATTATTTGATGTTATAATTTAAAAGTTTCTTTGTTAAAATGATTACTCGGCTTTTGCCTTTCATTTTTCATTCATTCACATTTAAACAACTAGTGATAAAGCCTTTGTAAAAAGATAAGAATAAAAAATGTTGAACTTTCAGAACAAACTTCAAATGGTTCATTGACTTTGTTTCACCATGGAAAAATCACTTAACCTCCCAGTGTCAGTTACCCATCTATGAAATGAGAAGGATAATATTTTCTTATGGGAATGTTTTGAAAATTATTTTGCAAATATAGTGGATGAAATTGTTGCAAGCATCACTGCTCTTTCCCCACTTCTTTAAAGAAGCAAACAGTATTATTTATATACTGGTTGATAATCAAAATGTCACCAGGGCTGAACCACGTGTATTTTTATTAGCAATTGTGTGCTTTTTATTACTTAACGAATTACTCCCAGATTGCTCAATTTATGCAATCCTTCAATATCAGGGAACCCCCAAAAATGTTTTAAAGCCATTTTGAGCTTCATATTTATGAGCTGCTAATCTCTGTAATTATTCCTTCTCTCTGTCCTAGTTGATGTTTTCTCTGATGTGGTTTTTCGCCTCACCTCACTTCACAAGATTGATAGTTCTCCATGTCACCCTGCTAGAGGTCACCTCTGAGCGGAAGGCAAAACACATCCCACTCTGGCTCCTGTTGACTTTCAAGTCAACTATCAAAGAATTTATTCCAGACAACTCCTAACCTCAATTTAAAAACTCCACCCTAAAGATTACAGGGAGATATCCTGGGGAGTTGCCATAGTGACTCTAAGAGGTTGACGTTGAGGAGACGAAGTTACTGGTATCAGATTTTTTTAACTTGATAGGCTTAATTATATAAGGTGGTCATGAACCTCTGTGCTTGTGTCATTTAGGTCTGGAAAGAAATTTTCCCCTCCAGGCTCTTCTGTCTCTTCTGGTGCCAATCAACAGGCTCCTTGGAAATAAGAATCTTATGCCGATAGTTCCGGCATAACCTCAAGTAGTGCTTGTAGTAATGACAGAATCACTACAAAACTTAAGAAGAAAAGGAAAATCTATTTCACGGGTGTGATTAAGTCATTATAATGTTCTTGCATATGTAAATCATCTTTGACTTCATGAGCCACCTTATTATAAGAGTATTTTATATACAAGTATTTTAACCTGGCTCTAGAAACATTGTTAGCCATGTTGATCATTGTCATCAGACCAGGCAGTGCTTCCCTCTAGATTATCTTGCTGAGGTGAAATTTATGGATTATGTTTCCATGTGCATGAATTTTGTTTGAATGATGAGAAGTGCACTTATTAAGTAAATTCATTACGTGAATTACTTTCATAAATTAGTATGATACTTAGGAAGACAGAAATTGATTATGTACTGATGATATCCAAATCAGCAGGGGCCATTTGAGAATATGTATTTTTCTGACTATAAAAGAAATATATATCCTTTGGAGAAAATTGGGAAATGACAGAAATAGAGTATTACCTGTATCTCCTGGGTTAGAGTGATCACTCTAAGATTTTCATGGATATTCTACAAGATGAATACTTTTTAAAGAACACTCATGCTGCTTTCTCCAATGCATTTGTATTTCTGACAACAGCTACGTCTACTCCCTTTCCCCCCAAAATAATGGTCAAATAGGATTCATTTTTATTTCCCTTTTCAGAAAATGAAAAGAAAGTTTTAGTATCTATATTCCATAGACTTGACTCAGGATTGTAAGAGCTACTAAAAAATGTTTTACGTTTCCTTTACTGCTTTAGAGATTTCAGTTCATCCAAAGTTAGTCTAGTGCTTTTTCTTCAATGATGACCAAGTCTGGCACCATATAATTGAAGCAAGGCCAATGGAAATTAGTGATTATCATATCACTATTTGAATATGAATCTTTATGTATGCCTAGAAAGAGAAAAAAAAGGTTTTCTAGAACACATAAGGGAGTATAAAAGAGTCCTAATGGTATATCAGTACTGTTGTTCTCTGATTAAGGGCTTTCAATTACTTTTCTGTCTTTTGTAACATATAGTTTTGTTCTTGTTGTTTGGTTGGCTTAAATCTTATTTTGAGTGAGAAGTTAAGTCCAATGTAGATCTTGGGAAGTTAATCATTTTATGACTTTCATTTAATCAACATTTTCTTTAATCCCCTTCTAGGCAGCCAAGGGCAGTTTCCACTAACACAGAATGTCACGGTTGTTGAAGGCGGAACTGCAATTTTGACCTGCAGGGTTGATCAAAATGATAACACCTCCCTCCAGTGGTCAAATCCAGCTCAACAGACTCTGTACTTTGATGACAAGAAAGGTGAATACATTTTCTTTTACATGTTTTAATCATATTCTAAAATAGCCTCGTTATAATAAATTCATTTTTCTGAGATGATTCAAATTATGCCTTTTGATTAGCAAACTACTGCTGCTTGTATTTAAACATGTTAAATATTAAATACTTTAGTTTGCAAGTCATAAACACTAAAGATAACCTATGTCAACTTTTTAATAAAATAAACAGTTCTAATTCTGTTTCAAAGATAGTTTTATGCCTTCTCTTCACAAGCATCTTTTCTCTAATGCTGCATTCTTTCATTCCTTTAGCTGGCTTGTGCATACACTGAATATTTTTTCTCACTCCTGATAATGTAGTGTTATTTTTATTAAACTTAGCTTTATATATTTGGAAGGTGCTATATGACTTGGGGAAGTTTAATAATTTTGTTGTCATGAATTGGGTCTGAGAGTAAGAACTGTACAAACGCCGGGCTCGGTGGCTCAGCCTGTAATCCCGCGCCTTTGGGAGGCTGAGGTGAGTGGATTGCCTGAGCCCACAGGTTCGAGACCCGCCTGGGCAACTTGACAAGACCTCATCTCTACAATAAAACAAAAATTAGCCGGGTGTGGTAGCATGCGCCTGTAGTTCCAGCTATTGAAAGGCTGAGGCGGAAGGATTGCCGGAGTCCAGAGGGTCGAGGCTGCGGTGGCCGGGAGCGGCCACTGCACTCCAGTCTGGGCAACAGAGTGAGACTCCAACTCAAAAAAAAAAAAAAAGGAATTGTACAAATGATTCACATAAGACTAAATATCCCATGTTTCCAAAATAAACCGAAAATTAAGTAGGAAGCAATGTTTCTTAAAGTTGAAGTGAACTTTAGTAATTAATTTTGACTTCTAATTGAATAACAGATAGTCTTGGATTACATTTTTCAAGAGTAGTAAAGAAATCCACGTTATAAAATTCAAGCAAACTACTAAAAGTGTACACCAAATTTCTAAACTTTTATTCCTTGTTATAACACTAGATTGAAAAAGTGAGTTCATAGACTACAGTGGAAATATAAGGCTGTTGCTTCAAATAATTTTAAATCATATAGCACATAACTATTTATTCATATATTAACTATTAAACCTAGTCAACATCTGAGTTTTTAAAGAATCTGTGAAGATAACAGTAAGATAATTTAAAATCAGTTCCTTCTTAACAATTAAAATGTCATTGAAGAAAGTCTACTAAATGTGTCTAATCCATGTGAAGTGTGTATCTTGTTCATTACTACTTTTTTCCTCTTTGATGTGATCTAGATTTAAAATGAAAATTTTAGTTTGTTTAAATGTTAAATAGATAATGAAAGACTGCTCACATATCTAATTCATTGACTTGATAAACTTTTATTGAGAGTTCCTTTGTAGCAGGCATTAAAGTTAGAGAACAGAAAGATAATAGTCCCTGTTTTAGAGCATACAGTCCAGTAAAAAGGACAAAATATAAACAAACACAGAAACCAAATAAATTTTAGAGCCCAGTGGTAGGGGACAAGTGCTATGGAGAAAAGTTAATCAGGCATAGTGAGTGAGAGTTTAAGTTCTCCAGAGAAACAAAACCAGTAGGATAGATGGAGAGAAAGATCTATGTAGAGAGATAGAGACAGAGAGGTAGATGGATAGAGGATAGACATAGATACATACTAGATGTTTAGATGATAGAGAGATGATAGGTAGATTGATATAGATACATAGTAGATGGTGAGATGATAGAGAGATGGCAGATTGATGGATAGAGAGCTACATGGATACATAGTAGATGATTAGATATAGAGAGATGATACATAGATAGATAGATAGATAGATAGATAGATAGATAGATAGATAGATAGATATAGATACATGGTAGATGGTTAGATGATAGAGAGATAATAAATGATAAATAGACAGAGACTATTTTAATAAATTGGCTCAAGTAATTGTGGAATCTGGCAAGTTTAAAAATGCAGGGCAGGCTGGCAGCCTGGAGACCCAGGAAAGAGTTTATGTCAGAGCTCACCCCAAAGGTTAGATGAAGACAGAATTCCTTCTTCCTTGGGGACAATAGACTTTCTCCTAAGAACTTCAGCTGATTTAGTGAGATCCACCCACATTATTGAGAGTAATCTGCTTTACTCAAAGTTTATTGATTTATACATTAACTTCATATTTTTAAAAATCCCTTATAGCAACATTCAGACTGGGATGTGGCCAAACATCTGAATACTTTGACCTAGCCATGTTGACATATGAAATTAGCCATCATTAAGGGTTCTGTAGAACTTTATTATTCAAAATAATTTAGTCCTCTGAGATACAAGTAGGGTAGGTATATATACTGGTCACCTTCTCACAGAATCTTATGGGAGGAAGAAGTTAAAGTTCTCATAATTATTGTATAGAACCGATATGATGTACTGAAAGACAATATTATGACTTCATATTTATGTATTGTTTAAGTAAATAGGAGGTGAAATCATTCATGTTTAACGAGGACTTCCAGTCAGCCATAAAGCTAGAGTTGCTGGTTTTTTCTTTAGGGGTGTTTTTAAAAGTTTCCAAATAGATTTTAAACCAATTATCTGCAAAACACTCACTACAGCAGTATTTAAGTTATTTGGATCCTTAGTTAACATTATAAATTATTTTATTTTTCTGATTATGGGTTTTTTATCCCATTTTAGAATTTTCAAACATACTTTCCGAGATCGTAAAGTGTCTTTTAGTTATTAAGACAATAACTGAGGGATATCTAATGCAATATTCTTTAGACGTTTTTGATGAGAAGATATTCAAGAATAAAATGCTGATTTAATAAGCAACTGCCTAAAATTTCACAACTGTAACCTACCTAAATGAGTTTTTATTTAAGGTATGAGGGAGGACTCCCAAAATGGAATTTTATTTGTAAAAAATAGCGTGTTTATTCTTACATGTTTAAACTTCAGTCGCCTTCAAAGTACCATCCAATTGAGGTAATACACCTATCAAGACACTTTTTCTACTGCTCAAAACTGTTTTTGAATTCAATTCTGATGCTTTTCAGTGCTTCTGCTATTTTTGCTTCACTTCTTCCACATTGGCAAAAAGTTTCCCTTTGAGGACTTTTCTCATCCAGGGAAATAAAATCAGTCACTCAGGGTGAAATCTGGTGAAAAGGAAGGGCAGAGCATGGAAATCATGCTGTTTTTGGTTAAAAACTGCTGAACACTCAGCGTGGTATGGACAGATGCGTTGTTATGGTGAAACAGTCACCTGCTTGCCACAACTCGGGATGTTTCTTCCACAAATCATGATGTAACCCTCTCGAAACTTCCAGATAGAAACTTTGACCGACCATTTGATATGGAGGAACAAATTCTGAGTGTACTACTTGGGGCCTGCCCTCCAAAAGATAATTCCATTTTTTTTGGAAGGAGTTGCCTCCTCTCATATATTGAATGGAAATGAAAGTTGTATAGGTAGAAAATAAAGTTTGAAGATGTTTTTTGATTCCATCAGTTTCTATCATAAATATGTCTTAGTTTTATCATGCCAACATTATGTAAGCTTTATGTTTTGATCTTAAATTTATTAGTGCTTTGAGGGTAGAGAAAACACATCTTAAAAAATGTGTTACAGTTTACTTTTCTTTTGATCCCTCATGGTGTTTGGAGGAGTTTGTTGCTGCTGTTGTTGTCTTAAATCAAGTGATCTGTATTGCTTTTCAACATATAAATCTCTACTAGTTAAAAAATGATAATAAACACTTAGGTAAAGTTACTCACAGAGATTTAACAACCTCTTTTTGTTTTCTAGTATCAATTGATTACAAATATCAATAAATGAATGTTTAAAACATATGCCCAAATATAAAGTGATGTCAATTTTAAGAAAATGTCTCATTTGTCTAATGATATAATGAAAAAGAAATTGTTTGAGGAGGGAATAGTCTTTAAGAAATGTTCCTAGAACAATTAAAGTATTGTTATACTATTTAACTTATCAATTTGATTATCTAAACATAATAAAGTTATATAAAATGTGAGTTAATTACTTTAGAAATATTACTTTCTTCCACCCCTGTTTGATGAAATAATCTTGTTTATGAGCAATTTTTGAAAGTGTATCATGCTATCAATAATCTTTAAACAGCAACTATGAATTTCTATAACATTAGAACATTTTTGTTGTTCATTCATTCTGCAGGTATATAATAACACTCACCACTTTGTAATAACTCTTGTATTGCATTTTAGGGAGTTCTTAAAGATTCATGTTTACAGTGACAGCAATTGTGAGATCAAATCCTCAAGCACAAAGACAAAAATCTATATTAAATGTCTTTGCCTCTTCTTTTAGCTATTCTATAAGTTATCCCCTAAAAAACATCTAAAACTAGAATTGATTGCAGGTATTTTCAAGCTAATATATCTTTTCTGCAGATAATAGAGAGCAACTTGTACTACAAGATTTGCAGAGACTTGGAAATAAGGCAATCCTCTATTTTCTCAGGGAGAATTATGGGGAGAAAAAAACACAATGCTACATTTGGTACATATAGCAATATATTTCTGCATCTTTACACAGCCATAAAATACCAAATGCATCGATCTTATGAATTGTTGAAATGTGCACTTGCTTTATTTAATTTTCTTTCCCCAAATGCTGTAACTGCTTTGTTAGGTAGAGAAAAAGCCTGTGTGTGTGTGTGTGTGTGTGTGTGTGTGTGTGTGTGTGTGTGTGTGCGCGCGCGCATGTGTGTGTGTATATGTGTGTTTAGTATAACAGATTTCTTATTTTGATATTACACTTCTTCTAATTCCTTTGTGGTTCTAAACGTCAGTAGCAGTAAAATAACAAAACTACCAAAGAATAAAGAAGCCCCTTCCCGAATGGCAATCTAACATGTCTCTTCCCTCACATGTCAGTGGTTCAGTTGCTATGTGATATCTTGTTGAAGGGATCCTTGGAAAGTGATGTCTATCAAATACAAGAGTTTGAAAACAAAAGCATTTTTTTAAAATTCCA